CATTCCAACTGAGCTGTGTGCAAGTGTCAGATTTTTTTTTAATGGAAATCTTTCGTTCCATCCTGTTTTTCTCACAAATATGTTTGATGTAAACATGCACTGGAGAGAAACTTTCCTATATTCTTTTTAAGCTTTGGTCTATGGAGTTCTTCCTATTTCCTGGCTACCTTTTGTACATAGTTCACTAGATATACTTTGAGAACGTGTATTTGTATCAGTGCATTAAATGAGCTAATAGTGAGGATACCTAAATTAATCATGCTAAGAGTTAAAAATCTGGCAAGTCCATTCCTTATAACACTTAGTGTATTCCAGCAAATGCAAGCTTATAGCATGCAGTGTTAGGGCCGTGTAGGAGTGCAGTATTTGTATAGTCCTTAAGCATTCAACTTCAGCAACTAGATTCCACCCCCTCCCCCCACCTTTGGGAGTCACAGCTACAGAAGTTACTGCTTCCTGCATTGTGTTCAAATACTGCTGACCATTTAAGTCTTTCTGAAATGTGTGTTTCTGGATTAAAACTAGATGAAGGGTGGTTGCCAAATCAGTGTTTTAGAACTGGGATGTGAAAGTGAACTATGTGATATTTTGTAGTACCTGACATGAAACAACTAGAATCTGATGGCTTTTTTTGCTCTGTGTTGCACATCATGCACTTAAGATGACATCAGCTTAAGTTTTAACATGGGTCCCTTAAAGTCAGCAAGCATGTAGGTAATGGTGGTATTATTGATACTGGCTTCCAAAAGGCTTTTAACTAGGTTCCTCTACAGAACCTTGTAGAAAAGCTATTCTATGAAAGTAAAGATAATTTCATAAATAGACAATTGTGTAAAAGAGAAAAAAATACATAAATTGTCCATGTCCTCAGAAGAAGCTACTGCAGGGGAATCCTACAGAGATTTGTTTCTTTCAATGCATTTATAAGTGACCAGGATAGAGAGACAACAGAGACAAGACAGAAGTTTGCATATGAAAGCTTCTTTGGAATAGCAAGTACAATGTCTAATTGTGAGGGCCTGCAGGATGACCATCTCAAAATCACCAGCTGTGAGTAACTGGGAAATTAAATGGCAGGCACATTTTAATGTAGATTAAGAGAGATAAAATAATGCACGCTGCATAAAATCTGAATTTCATGAATGGAATGATAGATTCTATGTTTATCATTAGCAATCTGCAGCAAGATCCTGATGTTCACAGTAACATCAACTTTAAGCCCAGTGATGCTCAAAGGCGGCAGATGAAGTTTTAGGAATGGTTAAGAAAGAAGTTCATTATAAATTAGGTAATTCTGTTATGGATGATTCATGGATTTATACGTCTTGATTACTGTGTGCAATCTCTGTTCTCATTATCTTCAAAGACTATAGTACTATTAGAAAGAGGTTCAAAGAAGGATGACAAGGGCTATCAAAGAAAAGGTAATGGTTTCTATACAGGATTGACTGAATAATCTGGGACTCATCAAAGTTAAAACAAAATTTACTAGGAGCATATAATAGAGGTCTTTAAAGTTGTGCATAATATAGCAGGATGTTTGGGTTCAATTTGTCACTGATTTGGTCATTAAAGGAAGTCAAGTACGAAACAGGCTAGTCGATTTTTTTTTTTTCTTAATGCTGTCAGTAGTAAACTTATAGATTTTCCTAGATTATACTGTGTATGTTGAAAGTTTGTGATTTTAGGAGCAGAATGGACAAATATATGGACAAAAAGTGCATTGGGGATGGTTAAAGACATAGGAACGTGCCCAGTTCAGGGAATTTTGACATTTCATTTGTTTAATTCATTTTTATCTAAATTCAAGTACTTTGTAACCAAGAGTGTGCAATTTTATTTGGAGAAGTAACCATTTGAGCACTACATAGGAACTATACAAAAGAATCTAAGATGAAATGTAATTCCCCTGAGCATTTGAATTACCTGAGCTATTCAGGATTTCCTGTTGTTTTTCATTGCATTCACTCCTGTAAAAACGAGACAGGATAACTGTCTCCAGAACGATTGTGTGCAAGCCTGATTCATCCCCCAGGAAACTCTGTCCTCTCCATTAAGGGAAGCAAGTGTGTCTCAGAAATGCAGTAGATGAACGTGCAATTAAACTGTGGTAAGTGAAAGGACATCTGTAGTTGTGCAGTCAAGTAAGGATTTTTGGCTAGATTGATAGTCTGAATTACTTTTCAGCTAACTACAGGTGTTTAAGACATTCCTTCTAGGATTATAAACTAAAAAGTCATTGAAGTAAAATGCAGGATTCACTCTGAATGCAACGGTGTTTTATTAGGATAAACTTTATCTGGTGAAAGGAATAGCTGAACAGTCGGTTTTTTCTCATGTATTGTGTGTATGTGAGAGAAAAGCTCTGTTTCTGGTCCAGTTTCTCAGTGTTTTAAAGACTTGCTGTCTTTATCTATATAATCAATTCTTTTTTCATTTCCCTTTTCAAATGTGAACAGATGTTATCAAATTAAAGCTCAGTGAGACTTTTATAACTGTCCTGCACCTTTTACTATATATAGCTACAGGAAAAAAAAAGCAAAAGAAAAAAAACAAACATAAATTCCCACCTGTATCCCAAGTAAGGAAAATTCTTTCTCTCTGGCCCCCAAGAAGCTATCAATTTACAGAGGAGGGATGCACATGAGGGCAAGCTTCTCTGGTAGCTGAGTCAAAACTGTTTTCAAACGAATAACAGCCTGGTTTGAAGTTCTATGTAAATTTAGGCCACTGGATTTAACACCAGTTGTCAAAGTTCTCAACTTAAATTTGGGAAACAAGTTTGTTTACGTATGTGATAGAATTGTATTGCAATGTAAAAAAAAAAAATTGGTCATTTGGAAGGGCTTTAAATATAACATTATTTCTTACTGAGATGTCTGATTGTCTTCACACCACATAACCTTTTAAAACAACAGCAAAAAGACAAATTGATCAAGATGTAAGGATTTTTTTCATTCCCTAACAACTACAAGTGACAAGTGCCAGCTCCCTGAAGAAAGCCAGAGGAGCTGCAAGGTGCTGTCAAATAGAGCTCTAATTGAAATCTTTAAGAAAGGTCCTTGATGGGTCTTGTATTCCCCCCCCCCCACCTACCTGGGACGTATGGTTATCAGTCTTTCTCCCTTGCATTGTCTCAGAGAACAAGGGATGGAATTCACTGACACTTCTTGAATGTTTATGTGAATGTGAACACAGTGAGGCAGTAGGTGGCACATTTGAGCAGTAAAGAAAGCAATGCGAGAGACAAATGACGTTCTGGATGGCCATGCACAACTGTCACACCATGAACTGGAAGGCATCTAAATCAACTCATCTTCAGATAACAACCAGGGTACTGTGTATGGAGCTGAATACTGACTTCAATGCATTGGAATCAATGATGGCAACATTGGAATATTGCAGTTTGTGCCAGGTGGGTTCCATAAATGCTCACACAGGAACAGAAAGAACCCTGTATACGAGTTTGTAAGGATCTACTGAACCAATACAAGACTGAAAGTGACATTTTCTTGGATTGCATCATTACCAGTGATGGGACCACATGTCATCACTATGAGCCAGAGTCAAAATGGCAGTTCGTGGAGCAGTGACGTGAATTCCCTATCAGAGAAAAAGGTCAAGATGCAGCTCTCTGTGGGTAAAGAAGTGTGTACTGTCTTTTGGGATAAGATAGTGGTGATCCTTCTGGATTTTCTGGAACAGGGATAAACCATCAACTCTGGACGCTGCATTGCTGACAGTGACTAAGCTGAAGACTCAAACTTTCAGTGCAGAGGTGAAGACAGCCTTTCTCTTGCAGTACAGTAATGGCAGGTCCCATACTGGTTTGAAGACCATGAAGCACATTGCCAATCTTGACTAGACTGTCCTACCGTACCCACTGTATAGTCTGGATTTCTGACTTCCATCTGTTCTGGCCAATGAAAGATGGACTTCATGAGCAACATTTTTCTAGCAATGACACCATAATAGCAGCTGTGAAACAGTTGTTCACCTCTACTGGTGCAGATTTCTACGAGTGCAGTATGCAGGCTCTTGTTCATTGCTGGTGAAAATGCAAAGTTAGTAGGTGGTAACTATGTTGAAAAATAGTGTTTGGTAGCTGAAAATTTGCTTGATCAGACAGTGTGTTTGTGCTCCTTGTAGCTCTTGTTGTTTCCATGGAAATAAATAGAAGGCATTACTTTTGGAACAACGCACCTAGTTTAGGCATTCTTGCTTCATACTTATTTTTCATTTCTATATTCTTTCCTTTTCATTATCCTCTACTTTTCTGCCAGTTTGTTAGTTTATTCTGGACTGTGTGATGTTATGTTGGTACATCTGTAGGAGACAGCTCTCTCCTCAAATGTTCTGAGAACAATTTTTCCTTGTTACTTCATGTTTGAAGTGGGACAAGAAGTTGGATGTGAAGACATTGTTGCATTTTTGTTTCGTGCCCAGCAATTTCTCAATTGTCTTGAAAAAAATAAAGAATGTAGTGACTACTGCATAAATCTCCTACAGCTGTTCTTTTCATTGCCACTGGGCAGTGCCACTTTATTTCTGTGCTGCTGCTGCATATTTTCCGGTACAATTACACTACACGCTACACGTTGCATGAGAATGTGGGCTACAGCAAGACCACTGATGGGAATACAAATGTTAAAATTCTTATTCAATTGTATGCTGTGATGTTGAACCTGTCTGAAAGTAATAGTGTTTTTTTCAGGATTGAATCATGTTTATGCATTTAGTGAATTGAAAACAGTATGCCGCTAATTGAGATAATAAACTTGCTTTTCTGTTGTGCTATAAGCAGCGAATCCAAAGCAAGTGATGTATATGAAAAGAATGGAACTGCAATCCATTAGGTAATAAATATTCCATTCAGTCATCAAGCCTTGTAGGAACCTCAGCTAAATGAAAAAGGCAATGTGTCTTATATCAACACGCCTGCTACTGTGGGAATTCTGCAGAAATGAATGTTGTAAACATTTTTTCTTTCATTTTGACAGGTAATATTTGAAGCCGAAGTCTCAGATGGGAGAAATGGCTACATTGCCATTGATGACATCCAGGTTCTGAGTTACCCTTGTGGTAAGTAATGATTAAGAGCTGCATTTTTCTCTGTCTTTTCAGGACATATTTGATATTGCTGTGGCCTGCTGAGTTTTCATCACTTCATCACTGATGTTCTTTGTTCTTTCAATAGCATTTGTGTTGTAGCTTCCAGGGCAAAATGTAGTGTTGCGAGTGATTTACCTGGGTGAAATCTTTGTCTACCAGAAGTATTGCATGAATATAAAAGCAGAAATGCTTCAGTGTCTTAAGCTGTCTTTTGTTAATATGTATGTTCACTATATCCACTACAGATACAGATTACAGAATTATGGCTTTCCAGATTTCGTGCCCTTTTTTTGTTGTTGTTTTTTGTTTTTATAAATGGCTTCTAGCTATTGAACTATTGAAGGGAGGTCCCTTGCTATGGTTTATTTTGTGAACAGAATTCAGGCATTTATATTTGCCTCTTTCTGCCTAACTCTGGGTAAAACTGTACACTTCAAACACAAATTGTGTTAATTCAGGTGTCGTACAAGTAAACATTGTGAGGAAGAAATTATTACTGTGCATTTCTGACACCACTCTTAGTTGTGTTTTTTTTTTGTTGTTGTTACTTCTATTTCATTTTTCTGATCTTCCTTTAGACGCTCCCTTTCTCAAAATTAAATTCACTGTTGTGCACCTCATGGCTGTTAATTTAATTACTTTTTGAAAAGACCACATCACAACAATCTTCCTCCAAAATTTTTAAAAGATGGTTGCAGTGGCAACCTCACATCTTGTTTTCTTCCACCCACAACTCTGTTATGACTCTTATAGGTTACCAAGCATAAAGGGGTATTTGTGTAATTTACCTCTTTATATTTCTGCCAGCCAGGCTGTCTGATCTCAGTAGTCAGCAAAACTCTCTGCGGCTCCAGTATCTGGCTTTGTATTGTCCCTTGCTTCTTTCTTTTTCTTCTTTTTCTTTTTTCTTTTTATTTATTTTCTAATTGCTAAAAGGCACTTTGGTGCAGCCATGACAGAAGATAATCAAAATCTTACACTTTTCACATAAGCTGTTTTCTGTACTGATCTTTAAACATTTTTTCTTTCTGATTTGCTGGCCTTTTTTCCTGAGAGGTTTTCTGGTGTTTTTTAGTTCTTTTTTTAACTAAGCACAAAGAAATTACAGCTCAGCTATTGTTGTAATTGGTGGCTCTTGAGAAAGGAATGGGTAAGAGCTGTGTAATATACCCATTCCTCAAATACGTCTGTCAGATTTCTTATGTCTAATAAATCCTTCAGGTGGTTGTGCCACAGAGCTGTCCTAGGGGCTTTGTCAGAGAAGGAAATAATTTGCCTGAATATTGAAATATTATGCTGAACAGCAAAAATGATTTCATTTAGTAAAAGTATGGAGCTCAAAGTTATGTTGCAAATTATCTAGATAATACCTATTTTTTTTCACTTGAGCAGTATCCTTTTAATTGGCTTTTTCCCAGTATGACAGACTTCATACAATTTAAATTGGCACGGATAATTTTTGTAATGTGCTACTGACATTCTAGCATTTGATCTTCTTTTCTGGGCTTTGATTCTTAAAATACTTTATTAGAACTCATGTAGAATAAAAAGGAGAGAAGGGAAAGGACTGAAAACGTTCTTCTGGAGCTGAGATGAAACAAATCATTTTCTTTGTTTGTGTTTTCCAGCTGAAGGTTTTTGTAATATGCGTCTTTGCAGAGATGATGCAATGGCACCTTTTGTAGCAATAAGCATTATTTGTAATTTTTTTTTTTTCCAAATCTGCAGATAAATCTCCACATTTCTTGAGGCTGGGGGATGTAGAGGTCAATGCAGGGCAGAATGCTACATTTCAGTGCATTGCTACAGGGAGAGATGCAGTGAATAACAAGTTATGGCTCCAGGTAAGGCCAACTCATCTAAGTCTATTTGCCTAGAGGACAAAATGCTTTCTGGAAGGGAAATATTTAAATTCTTAAGTCTTTTTTCTTTTGCATGTGAAACATTTAATTTAAAGAAGATGCTATATTGTTTAAATGGTGAAACTGTAATCAATTTTGTAGTGTTAAAAAGCTTGGATTGGGACCTTTTTTTTTTTTTAATGGCCAGTAGAGGAAGGTTGTTCTTTAAGGCATTTTGATCTTCTGTACTTTTAAATCAGCTCCATTTATTACCATGAAGTACATATAAGTACATATTCTCAATTTTAAAATGAAAACTTTTCTCTGTGGTTTGTGTGAATGGTCTTGAAAGACTTAAAATTAAGACCGCCAAGTAGAAAGATTGCAAAGGTTCACACTTATTTCTTTAAAAACTGAATTTTGCCACATAATACCCGTATGTGTATGCTTAAACCTTAAGCACTGACATTACTTTAGAATCATTTCTTAATATGTGTTTTACAACTCATTTTCTTAAAAATAGGGAATTTTTATACACTTTCAGAACTTCAAAGTTTTTGGCAATGATTGGACTTTGAAATTAACTATAATCAGAACTTTAATGTATGTATTTTTTTTTGTAAAGTGTTGTGCTCTTGAAATGAACTGTAATCAGTTACTTCAATCTGTTTGATTTTCTTTTAATAGAGTGTAGGATGACAACCCCTCAGTAGCAGTTGCATATAGGCATGTGTTAAACTTCAAATGTAAAAGAGAATATTTTTAATAGAAATATGAGATTATAAAAATCTGATACACTGAATGTATTGCCAGACTAATATGCTGCAACATTTTAAAATGTGACACAAATCTAGCAGTAAGTGTGTTACATTTATCGAATTGCTATCTTATCAGTCGGAATGATGTGGTATTCCATGTCTTTGGATAGTAACTTGTTTAAACTGAGCACATATAAAATTTCTTCACTGGGGAAGTGGAGTACAGTTTCAGAGGCTTGCCAGATAGATTGCATAAAGCACACAAACTGAAATTGAGCTTGGTTACTATACCAAAGACAGGAATATAACAAAAGGTGCAAGCAAGAACAAATGTGAGGCACTGTCTTCAGTGGGTAATTGGTCAGAAAGGGCTGACAGGGACTGCCAGCTGGTAAGCTTCCTCATCACTTGGTCCTCTGGGTCAGATAACTGACAGATTATACTTGCTAACTTGCACTCCCTTGAGAAGGCCAGTTATCCGCCAGACAACTCAGAAAACATGTATTTTGTCCCTTCAAGTACTTTATGGGTGGTTTTTTGTGGGGGATCACAGATGTGCTATTTTTCTCGCAGTGTAAAAGATAAGGTGTCTTTGACATTCAAATAACTCTGCTTGTGTTTGTGAAGTGCTTTGATATTCTTCAAGACACTTTGCTACTAAATTCATATGCTGGGTCTTACATTTCCCTTCTTGTTTTCCCTTAAGTAATCCCAATTTTTCACTAGCTTAAAGGTGACCCATATTTTCTTCCTCCTCTCTCATTATTCCAACACTTCATCTTACCTTCCTGACATAAGTGCAAGTCATGAACTTTCCTACCTCTGAATTTATCCTTAAACAGATGTTACAGCTGTTTTGCTCAGCTAATAGTGAATTGACTCCTCATCCTTAAAACACTAGGTGAATATATATGGGGGCCTCATAAGACTAAAGTGTATGACTTGAAAGAGGCTAAAACATTAGCCTTTGACCAAACCAGAGATTCATAAAGGGTGAATAGCAAGCAAGGAAGAGCAAGCAGATCAAATCAAATGCCTAAGTAATTGTTTTTGAGAGCCCTGAGCTGAAACATTCCAAGAATGTATTTTTCTCGTAAGAACAAAAACTGATGTGGGGAGGAAGAAAAAAAAAAAGAAAAAAAGAAAGAAAGAAAGAAAAGAAAAAAAGACCACTGCGGGGGAGAAGAAAAAAACACTTCTCATGTACGCTCTATTGGAAAAAATAGCTTTTGGTCATGTCCTTATTGAAAGAGAAAAGATATTTCCTTAGTAAAGGGAAAAACAAACAAACAAAACCAAGAAAAAGTAGCATACAGGTTGCTATTAAAACAATCTTTGATAAGTAAAGATCTAAGGTACAATCTGGGACTTTTTGTATCTGAAATGATCTAAGATAACATTTGCTTGCATTGAAGTAATAAAGTTGTACAGGCACAAATTCCATTACAGAATCTTACTACTGCTCTCTGGCTTTCCCAGCCCTCTGCAGCCAAGGGCTGAAGGAAATTCAGGAGTGAGACAGAGCTGAGGGAAGCAGCCACCCTGCTTTCTTTTCTGTAGTGCTGCCTCTGAGTGCAATCCAGCTGCACTGAGCTGCAGCAATCTCAGCTTCTCCCTCCTAAACTCTTCTGTAGTATGGAGCTTTTACTCACCTTTCCATTGAATTAGTTGAGGAAACTGATCTGGCAGAAAAAAAATTTTGTCCCCAGATGTAAATTATTGCTACTGTTATTGAGAGCAAGAGGGATTTTTGGTTTTGGTTTGTAAGGGTGATGGTGCTGTGTGCACGTTTTGTTTTGGTTCATTTTTAGCTTGATTCATGTCTGAATTACCTAAGTATATAAACTGTGCCAGCAGATGGGATGTTTGGCTGGGAGCAAGGAAGAGAGAAGGATTCTAACAACAGAGTAGATCTCATTGTAGATTGTCTCATTGTTAATGACCTGTATAAACTTTAATATTCCAGTGGGGAAAAACCACTGATGTTACACAAATTATTTGTGCGCATGCACATTTCCTTGTTTTTCTTTGTAACTATAAATGAAGTGCACATATCTTTATGTGACTGAAAATAAAAATAGATTAAAATAGACACGTTTCAATGCATTGTTTTTTGAGTGTTTATAACTGTCTTTTCATCATCTTCATTTTCTATAAGAGCGTAACTGTAAGAATTTCAGATGAATATGAATTAACATTGAAATTTTTTTGTGACTTTCACTAATGTAGATTTTGCTGGTTTGTTTATTTTTAGATTATATCTTGTCTCCTGTCCTCTTTCACAACCCTATCCACCAACCCCTACATTTTGCAGCCCCACTGGACCAAAGCTGGGGACAGGCAGGGCTCTGGCATTGAAAGATAGACCGTAAAGATAACACAAGTCTTTAAAAATTTCAACTTTGTTAATGTAAAACAAATATTTGAGCAGGTAAAGAGATTTAACTGGTTGAACAAGATGATCTAAAACATACCTTTCCTGACAAAGTAAATACTGGGTGTGAGAGCAGGACAGAAGTGTAGTGCTTAGTGTTTTTCACCTTTTCATCTAGTATCCAGTCTGTTATGGCTACGAGCTGAAGTATTTTCTTTAAAACCTACAATTATTGACAAATTCTGAAAGAATTTCAAAGTCCTTTCTTTTTTTCTTTTTTTTCTTTTTTTCTTTTTTTTTTTTATTTTCTTTCTGGAATGCATTTGGTCTTAGTGTGTTATGTTTTTGCTTACTATCAACTTCTGAATGTAGTACTGTGTTTTGTTTTTTTTTTTTCTCGATTTGTTTATTTATTTTACCTTCTCTTACAATTTCCAGTGTAGTAAGTCATGCACAAACAACTTCAGGATGGTACCACTGAAAACACTGAAGCATTTGGATTGTCGGATGAATCCCCAAACCCAGTGCAGTAACATGGCATTCCTGCCTGTTACGCTTTGGTGTGCTTTGTTATATAAGGAGTTAGCAGTAGTACTTGTTGAAAATTTCCTGCGAGAAGAGAACATAAATATGTGTGCGTGTGTCAGCTGAAAAGATGCAATAGAACAAGTAATAGACTGATCAGTTGTTGCGTGCTTCTGCTGATCTTCTATTTTTTTAAGTATATGAATTGTCTTTTATGAGAAAGACTCTTGAAGAATGATTGTTTCTTTTGCTAACTTTGGATGCACTTTGCTGCTTTATCCATATTCATTTGTTGAATTTGTATCAATATTGCTATAAATATGGCTGCTTTATTTATTTTTTTTTTTTGGTGTATGTTAAATGCCATGCATTCCAGTGGAGCTAGGTTGGAAAACAAGAGTCATTTTTACACATGGATACTGTTTTTAGGATGGATACGTGTTAAGCATTAAATATATGTGAAAGCAGCACACAGAGAACAATACAAACATTAAAATAGAGACATTGAAGAGGGTCTTCTTACCCATATGATTTTTTAATATGAGGAAAGCTTCCATGATTTTAAGCTTTGTTCTTTTACTGAGAAAGTACAGAAATAGAATTGTCAAATTGTCTGAACAGTGTAAATAACACTTTGGGACACAAAAAATAGAAAGCAGCATACATATTGTTCAGCATTTGCTGTGTGGATCTGATTGGGATATCAGAGCAATAGGGTTTTTTGCATAATCAAGCTGTATTTAACTGCTTCCTGAGCTGGGAACAATTGTGATTCTCATAAGCCCAGTATGATTTTCAGTGTCTTATCGATGTCCAGTTTAACTGGACACTTGCACAGTACAGAGATTTGAGCTTTTTGCTCGAACATCTGTTAAACCATATGTCTTGGCACCTGGTTCAGATGGTGATAACAGCGGCACTAATGAGTCCATCCATCATCGCTGAGCTCTGCATTAACATAGCATTGGATTAGGGAAAGCGGATTCTTCTGGCTTTGCAGACGGATGTATTTTGCCACGGTCTTCAGTGATACCATTTGCTCTGGTGAATCTGAAATTCAGAGGGGTAGTGCACGTGTTTAAAAGTTTAATGTGTGCCCGATAATCCTGTGCAGATTGTCATTGGAGCCGTGGCGAGTGGGCCAATCTGTCAGCAGGGGCTGTGGGTGCTGGCAAGAGGCCACCCCACTTGGGCTGCCAGGGCTGGCAAGGCAATCCTGCTTTTGCCCCTGAAGAGACTCGTCAGCATGAACGGATCTGATCCAGACCCTCTCACCACCAGAGAAGTATGTCGTTCCTTGCGGAATAACAGATAATTAAAGCAATTGCCTGAAAGTAATAACTGAA